GTCCGTTATAGAAGTATTCGCTATAGTGAAAAAAAATCGAACAAAGAAGAAATGGGAATAATAGATGTGGATTTGGATTGAAAAAGTATATGATTTTTGAAGTGAGGAAATAAAATATACCCGACAGGAGGAGTCGGCATCGGAGGGGCATTTCGAGTGATACTGCCAATCAATACTTTCTGAGAAACTGAAAAGTATTTTTAACTCGGTTCGTTGTAGATCCTTGAAGATGATGCTAGGCACGTAATATTGATCTTCAGATGGATCTGGTGGAACTTCCTCCATCTTCTGTAGTCGGTGGTCCTCAACGATGTCATCTTGGTGGGATTTCTTTGACATATTTCTTCCATATTTTACCAGGAAATTGTCCTCCCATTGGACATTCCCATACAATTAGCTCAGACAAGGTTATTTTATGGCCACTCAATCTGATAAGATCTCTTTGGTTGCTGGAAGGCAACGTCTGCTGATGTGCTCTCACCACTCCCTTGATAAGATCGATATCGATTCTTATCGATTCCAAGCGCTGCCTTAAGTGATACATCTACATTGCGACGGGGCAAATTTTCTTCGAGACTAATTTGCTTTCCTATTCTTATTTTCTCTTGAATCACCAAAACCCAGACAGAATAGATCCACTGGTAGCACCGTCTTAGGAACGTTCTTGATTTAGGGCGCGCCATGGAGATGAGGAAAATCCCCCTTCAGCCCGAGTTTTATTTCCACCTTATCCGGAATACTTACAGCACGTAAATACCAGCAATGCAGAAAAAAATCCTCCAAGGGAATCGAGTGTAAACTTCCCCTGCCCCTTTCTCACCGTATTCCTCAGCGTGCTGTCTTGTGTAGGCCAGCCAAGGCAGCCGATCCACCATAGTTGTGTGTAATGAACCTCGAATCGACTTGGGGTTTCAGATCTCGTGTGAATTCGTGGCTCACTCAAAAAGTACCTTTCCTTCTCAGCTCAGAGGATATTCGAGCTAATTGTGTGCATATAGTGTCATCTCAGAAGCAGGATGTGAGATCGTAGGGCATCACAACGAGCCCGGCCACGATGTCTTTTTCATCCCTCACATGACCTTGGGATATGCGTCGGCGCTAATTTTAGCCATTATTTGGGACTCTTTTGCTTCTGGTTTCACCTTGGGATATTATTGGGCAGAAAACGATACCTATGGTAATAATAGCCAAGCAGAAATGATCAGGGAGGATCCGTGGATTTCAAAGCCTTTGTGTTGAACGACCTGCCACTAGCGTACATTTTCTCCTTTTCTCTAAATTCGGGGCAAGGAAGCGCCATGAAATAAGCAACGAGAGCTTTTTATGGCTAAATATTGGGTTATTCCCGGAGGCCGAACGTTCAAAAACGTTTGCCACAAACACTAAAGTGTCGCCTGCCAAAGAAGGATGGCATGAAGAGATGGCATTCGCTTGAAAGTCACAGCAGCCCCAGGGCTTGGTAGCTTTTCTCCCATTGACAATCTCTCCTTTACGCAATCGCGTTCGGAGGGGATCAGCCTCACAACTTCTTGGAAACCTTCAACAAGTGGAGAAGTTCTATCTTAGGTCATAGCCGATGTCACAACCAAAAGGCAGCGGATCGTTTTTTTGGCACTGGCGACGAGCGTGGGAGGAGTCGCAGTGTCGTTTTGTGTTTTGTTTACTGTGCGAACAATTTTGCCGCTCAGGAGATTTTTCAGTCGTTTTCACCGTGCTGGCACCTCGCTGAACGCAAATTTTTTTTGGTTCAAAACTTGAGTTTTTTATTGGAAATTTTTGGATAAAGTGTGGATTTTTGGTATTGGGGCGTATATTTGGCCACCAGGAAGAAGGGGTCGTATTTGGGCTGAGAAAAATTTATTTTGATAGTTGATTTTTCTCGCTTCACGGACGTTGTAAAAGGGGGGTCGTACTTGCTCATTGTTGGGAGGGGGGTCGTATTTACTTTCTGGCCTTTCTAGGAGTGGTGGGAGTGGTGGTTGACTTTTCGAGATTATCCTGTTTCATGCGGCCATGTCACTCATCCCCATCGTCTATCTCCCCGGATTGACGTTGCAATTTTGAAAAAAAAACTACGTTCTAAAGAGGGTTTTTGGAGAGCCTAGCGACCGACGAGGGAGGCTGGATACACTGTGATGAGAAAGCAGAGCCTTCCCAAGGTCAAAAACTCACCAGCCCAGACATGCTCTCTCATTTCGGGGGGATATGACAGGAACGACCCACAATGAGTTGCAGAACGCAGTCAAGACTGTCGTAGCTCGTGTTCATATCAATCAACTCTAGCATATGCTCGGCAGATGAGAAGATGAGAAGAAAGACGTCAGGATGATTAGAGGTGTGCCTACCGCACTCTGAGGAGTGTCTGAATATCGCTCCGAACACTTTCGAACGTTCGTAATATAATCAGAGGGGTCAACTAGTATTCGGCTGCCCACCCACGGTATTCGCTAAATCGAATATCTCATAAAATACCCAACCTACCTCAAAATCGGCCCTAAATCGTCTGATTTCAGGTTACGGCGAGGTACAGTTCGGTAGCGGAGAGGGAGGGAGCATTTTACCTGTGCACAGCTTCATCAGTCCCGGTTCACAAGTCTCACTCTGCTGAAACCTGTGCTCCTGTGAAGCTGGA